CAAAAGTTAGCAAGCGTGCCTTCTCTGGGTTGCTCAAAAGCATCTATTTGTATCTTTGCAGCATTGTTAGCCCTTTTGCTTCTCCCATTGGTGTTAGCTCAATGTAGATATTAATGTGTTCTATAGCGTAGATATTTTGGCATTTAGCTATTAAAGAGATAAGGTGGTGTGTCTCAGTTTCCCCTTCCATATAGCAGAACAGGTTTATTATGGTTTCTCTTCTGTGACAAGCTCCAAGTCTGTTTACAGGTATGAGCTGAAAAGCAGCATTGCTACAGAGCTTCTTAACACATGGTTTGATCTTATTTACCACTCCGAGCATGTTCAAAAGCTTTCCCCCAAAATCATGCATATTGCACCTTTTCATCAGGCTTAACATCAGCCCCAAATTCTTCGTCACAAGGTTTACCATTAGCATCACAAATTTTATCAGGAGGTTTAAGAGTAGCATCAAACCCTTTACCACAGATGGGTGTTTACAAGTAGCTTTGTCATACCATGTCCTCTATTTAGACAGTCTGGTTTGTTCAACACCCATTGTGTCTTTCAACTCCTTCCTGAACCTTAGCATGTGTTCAGTTACTGGCTTTTCTTTCCCTTCAGTGTTCCCTTCAGTATGGGTTCTCAATCCATATCTTTGGGGCTTTGGTACTGCACAGTCTGGTGAGGTAAGGATGTAAGGGGATTCTGTATTTTGGCTGGTCCTGTGTGGAGCTGTCTCCCAACCCCAGTATGTCCATATGCAAGAAATCTATCTCCCCTTTTGGGACCTTCCCCACCCGCCTTTTTTAGAGGTTCATTATTTGTGTCTCTAGGTTACAAGTGCTTGCTCTTTAGTCAGACACACCTTTTTCCAGCAGCTCTCCGTCAGCTGCTTTGTGTGTCTTACCAGCTTCTCTTCTCCGCCAACTGAGTGATTTGTATGCTCACAGACAACCATTGCCTGGAAGCTTCCTGGACTCAGCTTCTTGGCTGTTACAGTTATGGGAGCTGCATCTTGACTTGACTTTTCACAGTCATATAAAGATGGGGACAGCTCAGTGGTTTGAGCCTTGGTCTACTAAACCTAGTGTTGTGAGTTCAATCCTTGAGGGGGCCACTTAGGGATCTGGGGCAAAATCAGTTCTTGGTCCTCCTAGAGAAGGCAGGGGGCTAGACTTGATGACCTTTCAGGGTCCCTTCCAGTTCTAGGAGATAGGTATATTTATATTATTATTATGGGTGTCCTAAAAAAATGGGACCTGGATTGAAGTACCTCCATCACCCCTTTCCCTGAGAAATTAGCTATGTGACTGCTACCCTCCAAAAGGTCAGTTACACAGTCCCCTCTTTGAACCTAAGTTACAGGTGGCATGCCTGGGTGCACAGATGCTGAATCAGCCACTCACTCCTGGGCATCCTCTCCCAAGTGACCAGTGAGATATCCACGTGCTCCCACTATTCTTTCCACATTTTCCTTCTCAAAGGAAGGACCTGGGGTCCCCTCTAGGACACATCTCTCTAAAGCAAAAAACTATCCCTTGATTAG